ACCAGATCAGTTTTACATCCATCCAGGAGTCACGGTCTAAAGCTAGCTGGAGTTTGAGTGATTTAAGATAATTTTGTGTCATTTTTTGACAACTTTTGTGTCATTTTGAATAATTTTTGACTAATTTTGGACACATTTGATGTAACTTTGAACAATTTGAGACTCATTTTGAGAACTTTCATGTAATTTGACCACTTTTGATAGAAAACATGTTTGAGTTTTGTTAAAAAAAACCTGCAACCAGATGAGTTTTACATCCATCCAGGAGTCACATTCGAAGGACGAAATCTGTTTTCAGATTGATTTCTGTGGGATGATGATTTTGCTCATTGGTGCTGCTTCACTTGTAGGAGAACAACACTGATGTAAATAAAAATCCAACCCTTGTGCGCGTTTTCTTTTGGAGATCTGTGAGAAACGTGGCCGTGAACCCATCCTTGGTTCTGACCTACGGTTTAAGCAACACTCCTGAATCAATACTCCATTTCTGAGGAGCCTCATGCACTCCGAGCCAAGACTGTCCTCTCAATAGCTTGATAAATGCCATCCGTTTTCCCCGGAGCCCATTCACAGCGCAGCCATCTCTGCTCTCCGCTGGCCTCGGTAGTACTACGGCATTCTGAACAGGCGATCTGCGGAGACGCCACAGTAGCCTTTTGTCTGGGTGTTGGCCAGCCGCCGCCGCCGCCGCCGAGCTGCCAGGCGAAACGGGCATCGGCGGCACAATGTACACAAACAGAGGCGGCGCTGGACGCGAGGAGCAGGCATCGGCCCCACAGCAGCTGTAATCTCCTGCTGCACAGGGAAACACTGGAGGGGCTCCGGGGCTCGGCTCGCCGAGTGGTCCGGGCCCGGAGGCGGCGCGCCGGCAGCACCGAGGAAACACTCCTCCTCCTCTTCCTCCTCGGCTCATCTGCACTTCAGGCTCCTCCACCGCGCTTTGTGTTGGACGGGCGAAGGTCACGGCGTTCACACAATGGGCTCTCGTCTCGTCACAGCAGAGACACAGAAAACATCTTCTGCCTCCTCGCTCGGGTCGGACGAGACATTTGGCTGGTTTCTGTCACTGGACATCAGAGTCTCCCACCTCAGAATCAGCTGATTACTTACCAGGGCGTCAATATGGATTGTTAATTACAGAAAAATATAAAAAACAAGGCATCTTTCTCAGATCCCTAATTTCTGGTAACGCTGATGCCGACACTCCAGCCGCTAGGTGGCGCTAATGCACCTAAAGTTGGTTTTCCAGCCGCGAAGGAAAGGAACGGGAGAAAGTTTGGTGACGGCGTCGCTTGGTTTGTCGATGAATAAATAAACATTTTAGTTGTTTAAGCTCACGTTTACGTCTGTTCATCGATTCAGTCGTCAACCAACATTCATTTGAACTGAAAAACTTTGATAAAAATGCGATTTAATCAAGATTAATTAATATCAAAGCCTCTAAAGAAGAGGAACGTCTGGACATCAGCGAACAGCCGGAGACCTTCACGTTTCATTAAAGGCGTTCTGAAGCGTATGTTTCAGTTTTTAGCTTGTGAGTCAATCCATGAAAAATTAACCAGAACCAGCAGATTCTGAGATGACCAGAGTTCTACCTTCAGACTGTGAATGTTCCAGAGGTCCAGGTCCTTGAAGTCCACAGAGGAGGGTCCAGATTGATCACCTTAATGGACTTTTTCCATCATTTCTGAGCCTCAGAACTTCATCAGTACAGCAGATAGACACATGACATTTAGGAGGAAGAACACATCTGGGTTCTGGTAGAAGTCGACGTCATCTTGGAATATTTTTGAGTAATTCTAGTATTTTATCGTCATTTTTGCCTAATTTTGGGCAACTTTTTGAATCATTTTGGACAATTTCTAAATAATTTTAATCCATTACTGTAGTTTTGAAATGCTTTTGTGTCCTTTGGAACATTTTTTAAAAAGAAATTTCCACAGTTTTTGAGTCATATTCAACCGTAAATGTAATTCCAAACACTTTTTGTGTCATTCTGAGCATTTCTTTTGAGCAATTTTGGGAAAACATTTATGTGATATTGGACAACCTTTGTGTAACGCTGAGCGATTTATAACAATTATTGACAATAGTGAGCGACTTTGGAGTCATTCTGACCTCTTTTTGAGTAATTTTGGATCATTTTAAATCATTGTGGAAAACTTTTGAGTAATTTAGAGAAATTTTTCTCACTTTGAACACTTTTTGAATCACTTTGGACAGATTTGAGTAACTTTGGATCATTTCTCATCTAATTTAGTCAACTGATGTGTCATTTTGAATATTTTATTTGACCAACTTCTGCGTGACTTTCACCAATTATTAGGTAATTTTAGATTTTGTATATCTTTGGAAAACTTTTGTGCCACTTGATCAAGTTTTTAAGTCATTTTGAGCCATTTTTGAGCGATTTCGGACCATTTCTAGGACGATTTTTAAGTGATTTCGAACAATGCTGTGTTTTTATTGTGTCATTTTGAACATTTTCAGTGACGGGGACCTAAATTTCAAACATCACACTTCCTCTGAGCCTCAATTTACACTTTACTTTAATAAAAACAAACAAAAAAAACCAACCCAAACCAATGAACCGATAAACAGTTGTCGACCGATTACTGTCCGGTCTCCGTTCTGGCGATCAGGTAGCTGCAGTGATGCTAACGCTAACAGCAGCTTGAGAGACGCTAACTGAGGAGAGGGAACCAGTAACAGCTGTAACCATGGCAACAACAAAGTAAATATAAAAAAATCTAACCAAAATATCACACCACATAAAACGCTCAAAAAAAAAAAAAATCCAACGACTGAAAACAGTTCACGACACATTTCTATCAAAAGGCTGAAACTAACGAGGAAGCAGGTGCTGAAATCAACACCGTCCAGAAAACCGGACGTGAAACGAAACCACATCTGTGCGGCGACTCTCAGCGTTTACGTTTTCACTCACCTACCAAAGCTGTAATGGGCTGTAATTCCAATTCCTGCACCGGGGAACAGACTGAAGCCACATTTTTAAAATATTTGTTTAAAAAAAAAAAAAGTTTGGAAAGTAGAGATTATATTAACGAACTGCGTGAGTGCAGCAAATGTCCAAACACTTTAAACGTGTTTCCGCTCAGAGGAAAGCGACTGTTTAATGATAAAAATGCAGGTTTTTGGTTTATTCGTGTTTTCAGGCAGGAGAAAGCGGTCAAACTTTACAGATGTTGGCCTGCAGGGAGGACAGACGGTTTGACAGAGGGGTGAAAGAAGCCATCTAACTGGAGAGACCATCCCTCAGCAGAGGTGGAGGTCTGAGGCATCACCACATCCACACCTGAGACCCTAACGAACCCCACGGTGGCAGGGGGAGCACGAACGACCCAGGCTAGGTGTTAATGGCTCCTTCAGGATATCAGTATGTGGAACTCCCACCTAGTCAGTCAGAGCTGATGAAGCCTCTTGGATGAAACGTCTTCAAGGAACTCAAACAAGCCCAGCTGATCAAACTACCAGAATGGTCAAACTCTACCTTTTGGTCGAAGTTCTCCGGCGTGAGGAAGAAGTTGTAGAGCGGCACGAAGTAGCCCTCCAGCAGCCCCATCAGCAGCACCAGGTAAACGCCGTCTGCAAACTGAAGAGACGTTTTCATGATCAGTGATCTATTAAAATGAATATTCATCAGCCAACCTTCAGCTCAAATCCACAACTTCTTTCTGCTCAGCCGTCTCCGATTTGACTGGAACGTTTACAGCACAAAATGTGGATATTTATGAAGATAACTGTGAAATTTTAGAGTCATATATCGAGTATTTTCTGAGATAAGGTTTTGAAGAAATCCCCGTCGACCCGCTTTCGGCAGGTGTTTTTTTTCTCACGTCGAAATTTGACAACATCCAAGGAACTGTTAAAGATAAAAGCCTGACATTTTCTCTGTTGTTCCTCATCATGACGTCGATTCAGAATCCGTAATATCGGACAAGCAGATCGAATAATCACTAAATAAAGGTGAAAACATAAAAAAAAAAAGACTGAAGCTATAAAGTCGCATCTTTGAGCTCGTTAACAGACATCTCCAAAGAAACCACACAGAAGTCTGATCCGAACCAGTTTAATGTCCACAAAGGAGGTCTGAGAATGAAAAATAGGCCCATATTCAACTAAAGTATGATCTTAGGAAGGATTTTAAGATTCCCATTGACACTCCAACTGTTTCAGCTTTTTGTGGTACGACTTGTCAAAGCTGCTCATTCAGTTACGAAAGTTAAATAAATAGCCTATTTTTATTTTTTGGATCAAATATTTATATTTAAAATATTCTGCATGTTTAGTTTTGTACGATTTTTTTCTCACTAGATCACTTCTGCTTCATCAGTTTGTTTGTTAATGAGCTTTTTTTCTTTCATGTTTCATCTCTCCCACAATCAGACATCATGTGATCAACTTGTCCGATATTAAAGATTCTAAATCGATGTCATGATGAGAAATAACTGTGAAAGTTTCAGGCTTTTATCTTTAATAGTTCCTCTGATATCGTCATTCAAACAGCCTCAAAGTGTGTCGACAAGTTTCACATAATCACGTATCGATCTCCGTACATTTCAGTGTATCCTAAAATATTTCCCCCTGAACCATCAGTGTGTATTTTATGTTGTGTATATTCTGTGTGTGCAGGTGTGCGACTCACCTGTGTGTCCAGCTCAGACACCTCCAGGTTGAGCTTGTTCAGGTGTTTGTTCACAAAAGTGATCAACGTCTGAGAAGAAAAAAAAACAGCAAACTCTGTGTTAAATAAAGTTAAGAAAATAAAAAAATCCTCACAACCAAGAGCCCTTAAATCAAAATAAAACATTTCTCCCATGAGCTCGTGGTCCATTTTCTAATAAATACAACCACAGTTTACTAAATTAACATCATGCCGCGTTGAAAAAGGCTTGAAACTGGAAATTAAGACTACAAACGTGTCTGGAAAATGTTTACGGAGGCAATAAATCAGGTGAGAAGTAGTGATTTCTCATGTGGACAATCAGTACACAGTTTTGCAACCTGAGTCGCCCCCTGCTGGACGTTAGAAAGAATGCAGGTTTACAGTTTCACAGATTTAAACCACAAATATTCCAGGTTCTGTTCAGCATTTTTGGAGAGAAGCCTCGGTACCTTCTTGACAACGTTGAGCTTGTCCGGAGCGTGGTCGAACAGGGTGTCGAAAGCGTCGCGCTCTGCCGAGAACAAACAAAATAAACGACTAAATCTTTACGTGGTTTTACTTTAACGTTTAGTAATTGCTGTTCTTTATGAAAACGTACCGTGTCTGCCAGAGAAAGCCCTGGAAAACAAAAAGAAGGAGACAGAACGTGTCAGACGGAGGCAGCTTCTGCTCATTGACAATTTCACACTCGAACATTCATAATAAGGAGAAAATAAAAAAAGGCTTCCAATTCAATCGCAGAGGAATGTCGAGAAAAACGGAGGGATTATGTCGCAGGAATGACAACACAATAACGTAGCTGGGGTCTCATAATTCCATTAACAATAGTGCACCTCGGTGTATTGAAACGACCTGCGGGGACGGCGACGCGCCGCGGCGGCACCAACAACCCTCGGACCGCTGCTGCCGGCCGTCGATACCGCCGATGAAGACGTCCTCCTCTGTGGGAGCGGACGGTGCTAGCGGTTTGGAGGAGGAGGAGGCGGCCGCCGCTGCTGCTGCTGCTGTTGTTGTTGTTGGAGAGGGTCGGGTGGGTTTTGGAGGGGAGGGAGCGCTGCGGCGAACGCTCCCCGAGGACCAGATATCGCGGCGGGCAGGCCAGCAAGAAATGGCAGCCGCTCAGTCGCACACATGTTCGTAATCTCCGATGGCAAAGGCAGGCAGGTCCGGGCAGCCGTCCTGGCGCTGCCGTAATAACCCGGTGTGTGTGTGTGTGTGTGTGTGTGTGTGTGTGTGTGCTATTAGCGGTCCATCCAGCCACCGTGACAAAACGTGTGTCTTGGCCTGCCGTTATCTCCCCGGTTGCTGCTGTCAGGCTGCAGGACAAACTCGCAGCGAGACAAACCAGAGTGTGTGTGTTTGCGGTTTGAAGCGTCTAATTCTCGCGCTGAGGGTGCCATCACATCTCCGATACAATGGTCGTCTGTTCGCCGCGGTTCGGCCGAAAGCAAACACAGACGGCCGCCGAGGTTCTGTTGCTGCAAACGGGGACGGGGTCGCTCTATGGAAGCGCTCGGACATTTAAAACCTTAAAAACAAACATGAAAATCTTGAAACCGATCCCGAGGTGGACGTAAAGCCAGAGGACGGTACTCCTCCTGGTATAAGACGAGCGGCTGCAGATGTTTTAACGTACAGAGAATTAAAAAAACGAGATGTTGTTTCTCATAAAAACGCACAAAACATGCTTTAAAATACAACACACATCACAAACAGCAGTGTAGTAGGGCTGGACCCGAATATCTGGTTGTCGTGGTGATGGTATCCGGATAGTAAGTTTGGGATTCGAATATTCACCCGCGACCCCCCACAGGTCACGCTCTCAGACTATTTGACATGTGAGTAGTTTGGGATTAATTTAGGACAACTTTTGAGTTATTTTTTAAAGGTTTTTGTCATTTTTTAAGTTTAAGTTTAAGAAATGTGGGACAATGTTTGTGTAATCTTGAACATCTTTTGTAGTTCTGAGCACATTTTTGGTCATTTGATGTCATTTTTAACCATTTTTTCATGTTTTTCTCAAAATTTTAGCTAATATTTGAGTAATTTTGAACACCACTTGTGGCAATTTGAAAAAAAAATTGACTAATTTGTGGAAATATTTTATAGTAATATAGTAAAAACTGCAACCAGATCAGTTTTACATCCATCCAGGTCTCATGGTCTCAGACTATTTGAAATCTGAGTAGTTTTGGATTAATTTAGGACCACTTTTGAGTTATTTTTTAAAGGTTGTCGTCATTTTTCCGACTAAGTTTAAGAAATGTGGGACAATTGTTGTGTAATTTTGGACATATTTTGTAGTTCTGAGCAGATTTTCAGTCATTTTAGACACAATTTATGTCATTTTTAAACATTTTTGAGTAAATTCAAAAACCGTTTTGGACGACGTTTGTGCCATTTTGAAAAAAATGTTGACTAATTTGGGGAAATATTATATAGTAATATAATAAAACTACAACCAGATCAGTTTTACGTCCATCCTGGTGTCACCGTCTCAGACTGTTTGACATGTGAGTTATTCTGGATTAATTTAGGACGACTTCTGAACCACTTCTGAGTTATTTTTTTAAAGGTTTTTGTCATTTTTCCGACTGAGTTTAAGAAATGTGGGACAATGTTTGTGTAATTTTGGACATCTTTTGTCATTTTGAACCAGTTTTGAATCTAGTTTTTTTTGTTCTAGACGATGAAAGGATCGTTTGGGATCATTTAATAGACTCACTTTGAGAAAGAATGGAGAAAAAAAATTAAATCAGAAGTTGCTCTCCGGACCAGAACTACAGTGTCGTAGAGTGAATAGATATGATACAACACTGGACCGGTGTCATGAAACTGGTGCTACAAATAACCATATAACTGAATTTTATTGATATGTATGATTGTCCTATTTAGGATCTGTCCAGTTTATGGAAAAAAGATCAGAAAATTGGTATTTTTATTGACATGAAAGTCACAAAATAAGCTGAAAATGATGTCTGAACACCAGTGAAATGAAGTCTACCTGGTACAGCTCATGCTTTACGGCTTCCTGTTTGCTTCAGACCTTGTTCCTATATTCATGTTGAGAAACTAGCTCTCTCCTGGCCTTCACAATGTGCTGCCTTTTGTTCTGCTACCTGCAGGTTGCCTTCAGCGCAGCGTTAACATCGACCAGCCGACCATCCAAACGTTGTAAAAACGAGTCGCAAAGCTCTTACTCTGTGTTTCCGGTGATTTCCTCCTGGACTTGTCTGGACTGAAGGATTCCTTCTCTTTTCTGAAACACAACAAGCGTAAACACAAAACCTTAAAACCTTTCTTTACTCCACACGGTTTAGCAGCTGCAGGCGAATCGTCTGAGTCCTGATCTCGGTCTGTAAACGTCGGAGCAGTTTACTAAAGTCAGGATAATGTTCTGTCATGTCAAGTTGTTTAATTGGAGACGTTTCAGTTTAACAGCAGAATAAGTTCAGGAGTAGGAGCTCGGGAATTTTTGGCTTAGATGATTCCAAATATGTTGGTTAAACGATCCTTTCATCGTCTAAAACAAAGAACTAGATTCAAAACTGGTTCAAAATGACAAAAGATGTCCAAAATTACACAAAAATTGTCCCACATTTCTTAAACTTAGATGGAAAAATGACAAAAACCTTTAAAAAATAACTCAGAAGTGGTTCAGAAGTCGTCCTAAATTAATCCAGAATAACTCACATGTCAAACAGTCTGAGACGGTGACACCAGGATGGACGTAAAACTGATCTGGTTGCAGTTTTATTATATTACTATAAAATATTTCCCCAAACTAGTCAACATGTTTTTCAAAATGGCACAAACGTCGTCCAAAACAGTTTTTTAAATTTTCTGTTTTTTTTCCCCAAAATGACTTGAAATTTGATCACACTTGAAGTCATTTTATTTATTTATTTATTTTTCCTTTGTCTAACCAGGTGGGTTAATTGAGAACAGATTCTCATTTACAACAACGACCTGGCCGTCAGATGTGACTCAAAAAATGTCAAAAATGGCACAAAAAGTTGTCCAGAATTAGTACTTTTTTTCCCCCGAAATAACTCGAAATTTGTCAAAATTGTTTGTCTTCACACGTGGACGGATGTAGAACTGATCTGGTGTCAGGTTCTACCAGAGCCCAGATGTGTTCTTCCTCCTAAATGTCATGTGTCCATCTGCTGGACTGATGAAGGCTCAGAAATGATGGAAACAGTCCACGAAGGAGCCAGAAACCCACCTGTACGACCACCACCTGGATGGAGACGTGGTCCGGCAGCCTGATGGGGGCTCTGAAGTGCTGCGACAGCGCCACCAGCAGGTGCAGGATGGCCACGATGCTCTTAGCGTGGACCGCTAACGTGAGACAGACAAGAACAGAAAGCCATCAGTCGAGCTGCAGATAACCACATTATTTCTGAGTTTAAATCAGATAAACGTTCATGAATCGGCTTGTTTCCGACGTTTCTCTTTGTAAACGTGCTGCTGCTGCTTTCATGCACATCATTTCCACGACTTCTTATTTCGCCAAAATAAATCTGAAATGTACGTTTTCCTTTAAATCCCCCACTCGCTGCTGCTTCTAAACATTCGCTTCCTTTATATCTTTAATGAGCTCCGTATGAATAACTCACCCTGGGGACTGAAAAGCCACATTTTTTCTATTGTTCCTCAATATTTCAAGGAATTTAGAGCGAATTAGAAAGCATTAAAAAGACAAGGTTGTGTACTGTCAATGGTAAATACAAGACGCCTTGAAGCCATGCAAAAAAAAAAGAAACACAAGCTTCATCCAGAAAAACGGCATAAAATCGAGCGTGAACAGCTTTGTTCGGTCGGACACGCTGAGCCGTCATCCGAACAAATAGGATTTACCTCTGGATACACAAGACAATCGGGATCAATTAAGCGACCGGAGCCTTTGATTGAACCCCGAAGGCGAAAGCGAATCAAAGAGAGGAAGCTAAAAGCCGCCAGAAAACCTCAGATCCTCGCCGCGTACGAGGGTTTTTTTTTGGGTTTTTTGCAGCCGCTGATGAAAGTAGGGAAAAGTGAATTGATTAAAGGAGGCTCCTGAAATAAAAGGACACCGAAATCATTCACGGTGCTTTTTTTTTGCATTTTCCGAGACATCTCGTGCCGGCAGCTCTCCAAGGACGCGGCGTTCAAGGCGTCAGACGAGGCGCTCTGACAGAAACCTGTGTGATAGGAGGCCGTTTGTTTATCTCCTGAGTTTTCTCTGCAGCTCTGTCATGACATCTATTTTTTTTTACTTTTTCCGCCTCTTTCGACGTTTAGATTCGTGTCCGAGGCCTCTGAGCCGACGACAGACAGCCTCCTGAAGCCTCAGACGGTGTGAACGTGGACCAAAGAGAACCGGTCCAGTTTCAGATTCGGAGTCAAAGACGTGATGAGAAATAACAGCAAACATTTCAGGGTTTAATCCGTAATAGTTCCTGAAATAAACGACGCCTCGAAGTGGGTCGACGAGCAGTTTTTAAAATAAATAAACTCGAGAAGTGTTTCTGATATCAAGCTGAAATTTTACAAATATGTGAATAAATATTCAGATTTTCTGCTGAATAAAATTCAGTCAACTCAAAGACATCGAGCACAAACTGTTCTAAAATCTTGATTTGAGATTAAAGATCAGGTTCAGATTCTGAATCAATGTCGAGATGAGAAATAACAGCGAAAATGTCAGGTTTTTATCCGTTATAGTTCCTGAAATGTTGTTCGAACGTAGCTTTAAACTGGGTCGAAGAGCAGTTTAATTAAATTTAGCTCAAGAAGTATTTATGATATTGAGCTGAAATTTTATACACATGTAAATAAGTAAAAAACAAACGAAATTCACGAAATTCGGAAGAAAAATCGGAGACGGTCGAGCAGAAGTTGCTCTAAAAACGTGATTATTTGAGATTAAAAACAGGTTTAATGTGAGAATAAAAACCTGCTGAAAGTAGGCCGATGGGAAATTGTTAAAATAAATTTAACTCGAGAAGTGTTTAACAAAATCGAGCTGAAATTTTACAAACATGTAAATAAGTAAAAAACAAACGAAATTCGGAGACGGTCGAGCAGAAATTGTTCTAAAAACTTGATGAGACAATAAAACTGAGAGATCAGGTTCAGTTTCAGATTCTGAATCAATGTCGAGATGAGAAATAACAGCAAACATTTCAGGTTTTTATCCGTTATCGTATCTTAAATATTGTCGTTCAATCGCAGCCTCAAAGTGGGTGGATGAGCAGTTTTTAAATAAATTTAACTCGAGAAGCGTTTAACAAATCAAGCTAAAATTTTACAAACATGTAAATAAGTCAAAAACAAACGAAATTCAGGAAAATTGGAGACGGTCGAGCAGAAACTGTTCTAAAAACTTGATTATTTGAGATTAAAAACAGATTTAATGTGAGAATAAAAACCTGCTGAAAGTTGGCCGATGGGAAATTGTTAAAATAAATTTAACTCGAGAAGTGTTTAACAAAGTCCAGCTGAAATTTTACAAACATGTAAATAAGTAAAAAAAAATAAAAAACAAAAAACTCAGGAAATTCGGAGACGGTCGAGCAGAAATCGTTCTAAAAACGTGATGATATGAGACAAAAAAACTGAGAGATCAGGTTCAGTTTCCGATTCTGAATCAAAGACGTGATGAGAAATAACAGCAAACATTTCAGGTTTTTATCCGTTATAGTAACTTAAATATTGTCGTTCAATCGTAGCTTTAAACTGGGTGGAAGAGCGGTTTTTAAATAAATTTAACTCGAGAAGCGTTTATGATATCAAGCTGAAAACGTACAAATTAAATTACATCGAATTGAACAACAGAGATCGAACAGATTTCACGTTACGCCTGCAGCTCACTTGTTCTCTGAACTAATCAAAGCCGTAGACGGATCACGACGATAATTGAGTGTAAAACGTTCCTTACAGTCGACGTTCCAGCGAATGTTCCTGGTGGACAGCTTGAGCGAGTCGTTGATTCGCTCCAGAACCGTCTGCAGCTTCTGCTTCTGGGCGATTTCCGACTGGGTCACCTCGGCCACGTTCAGCTTCTCGCCTTCCAGCTTTTCTACAAATCAAATCAAAAACAAACTATGAAAAAAAAAAGTACAAATCTCAGTTAAAAATCTGCATTCAAAGCAAGCGAGAGGACGCTTTACAGGCAAATGTAAAAAAAGATTAAATACAAAACGCAGCAGAGTTACCTTGAATTAATTAAAGAAATCATTTAAAAAATACTTGAGCAAAAATGTCACAGAACAATTAAAACGAAAACAGCAGAAAAAAGACAAAAAAATGGCTTTGAATGGCATGAATTTAAAAAAGCAAATAAAAGAGTTTAAGATGAGCCTCAATCAAATAAAACGGATTAATTAACACAGTTCAGTTTTATATATCTGATACCAGACGGACTCGACAAGCTCGTGTTAAACATCAGGCTCAGTAATACATTTATTTTTAGGGCGTTTTTCCTTTAACACATAGAAAAGTGGACATTTCATTCACCTGCATTTGCAGCTGAATTTTTTCAGTCAACAATTCCGTTTTATTTTCTACCGTTTGCGCTTCTTTCTCCTTCTGTTGAGGTTTAACGGAGTCGACTCTTTAATTCGAGGTGCTTAATTTCCAATATTTGCAGTTTCAGAGCTGAATGCCACAACTAAAGAAAAAGCAGAGCGCAGGAATGTAAAGGAGGCGGTTTGCAGCATAAAGACGGCGTCGAAGGCGACGAAATGTAAAAGTAATGCAGACGTATAATGAACAATAACACAGATTTTATTCACCAGCGTATTTGTGCAACAGGTGAAAGTTCTTTATAGCGTTTTGTTGTTTTTTTTTTTACATCTGAGACAAATCAGTTATTTATTATTAAGGAATATTATTATTATTATTATTATTATTATTATTATTATTATTATTATTATTCTGTTGAGGAAAAAAGCTCAAAATGTGACCAAACCAGCATGCGCATTCAAATAAAGCTTAAAATATCGTTAGCGGCACGTTTGATAGCAAGATATCCAGCTTGTGTCGAGCATTAAGCGTCCAAATCAACAGAAAAACCAGACGAAGCAGCAGCTGAACTGAAGCTACTGAAGTTATGGGATTAAACTGGTTCCTTACAGTCGATTGTTTTCTGGGAAAATCGTCAAAATACAGATTTTCACTTTGAGCAGAAGGTGATGCTGCACAGTGCTTCCAAAACTGGTGAATTCTGCCGTAAAACACTGCAAAAAAAAAAAATGGAACAGAAGACACTGGTTTTAATGGGAACTGGTTTTAATGGGCGCATAAAGACGAAACGCTTTCATTTCGTGACCAAACAGGCTTCAATCTACAGACTTCTGATATATTTTGGTCCCAGAACATTCAGGAACTTATAAGCAGAGCCCTGACCCTCAGAGGCCAACGTTTTTACGGACTTTTACTTTTGTCTTTATTTACCACATAGAAGCATGTTCACCGTGTTTGGTATCAGCACAACATCACCAACATGATCCGACTATTATTTTGTCACTTTATTAACATTTTGGGCTAATAATATAAAATCTGATTTGAAAAAATACATTATTTATGACAATAAAAACCACAAACATGCTGAACGAAGCCTTTTGAAAGTTGAAAATGTGAACATAGGTTCCAGATATGAGCATAAAAAGGTCAATCTGATATAAAATCAAACTAATATTTGAAACTAAATACGAAGCAGGTGTGTTTTTCTTTCTGCTTTTATCTATTTCACTCCTGAAAATAGTTTCTGTCCAGACTGAGGCCACATCAGGAGCTGCACCTCCAGGGACTTTCTTTCACTTTCATTTTGTAAAATGACAAAAAAAATTTCATTCATCTTCATTTCATTTGTTTATGTTTTTACCGCACATTCGTAACATCATGTCTCCGGTTTTTCGTGGTCGATTGACGTGAAACAGAAACTGTGAGAGAGTTTAAAGTTGACGACATCACCATACGTCTGCTAGTTTTCTAAGGGTTAAACTAAACCTTATATTTAAGTTGACAGGAAGCTCAGAGCCCGTGAAGCGTTCTCTTTTTCAATGCAAACGTCTAACGGTCTCATTTCAGAGTGCGTTACAACGATTCACTCCACAAGTCAGGAGTTTTTCTAAATGTCGCAAAACACTGACTTTATTTGCTCAAAGAGAATCTCACCGAGATCAAGACAGAGCTGAGAATGAATCAGTGATTAGATGTTATTATAAATATGAGGAGAAGAAGCGTCTCGGTGCGTAAACAGTGAACTCTCAGCTCAGAGTTGGTGTGAGAACTTCAGCAGCCAATCTGTGCTGCGATCTGCTGCTGCGTTTATTAAATCTGAGCTTCAGACCCAGGTCTGGCGCCGCCGAGATGCCAGCGATGACCGTCCAGCCCGCTCCTCATAACGTCGGCGGGAATGAATGAAACGCCGCCGCCGCGGCAGCAGACGTTTATCTGCGGCGGCGGCGGCGCGAGCACACAGGATATGACAGTATTACGATTATTATGATTCTGCTGCTTTTGAAGAAGAAGAAGAAACGTGTTTGGAAGTAAAGACCTGGTTTGGATATTTAGTTTTTGGAGGAAGTTGAGCCAAAAGTTTCGCTGCAGCACAAATAAACTGATGACGAATGATTTTAGTGTCTTTTTCTACTCATTTTGTGCCTCTTTTAGTTTCAGATTAGCAGCTTTAGTGCTTCTGAATTACTTTTTTTTTTTGCTGTAAATCCAACCAATCGGCTCCTTTAATTAATTTACCGTTCTTTAGACTCTAAACCAAAGTGATTGGTTTGATTCAACATCTACTGATAATTAAATATCAACAGATGCTCATTGAAATGTAGTCCCGTCGAATACTTAAGATAAAAAGTTTAAACCACATTGGTTGAAAACATCTCTGTTGGTTTCTGTTTTCATGCAGGTGAATTAAATGTTCACTTCTCTGTCTAGCGTAACGATGTCTACCAGGAGCTTGTAGGATCTACTGTCTAGTACCAGATGTGTCGATTACAACTTCCTTTAAAGCATGAATACCAGTTTTTTTACTTTTAAATTCAACTGAAACTGTTCGACCAAAACAAAAACGCTCTGTTTCGCTGAGACACGTCCTCGGTTTAGCTCCGCCCACCACGATTCTGATTGGCTTAAAGAAACGTAAACAAAGTTTTGGTTTTTGTCTCAAAGCAATACAGAAGGAAAATGTAAACATCCCACAATGCAATGCGGCAGTAGCGCACTAAAAACAAGCAACGACGGCTAACGGCGACAGAAGGTCTGAGTCTACAGACGAGGCTTCACTTTCCACTGAGATGTGAAACCAGTGAGACGACAATTCGGCCTTGACGTCGGTGAAGCGGCTCGAAAGGTTGGTGGGTTGCCACGGTAACCGGAACTCCCAATAAGGCCGTCAGGAAGTGGCGAGCTATTGCGACGAGCAGCGCGTCTGAAAAGCTGCAGACTACAGTTTGATAACGTTTGCCGAGTTTGTTTAGCATTTACAAAAAATCCAGCTGACGGGCACATTGTTGCCGTGGTGATGGTGGACGCAGCGCCCCCTTCAGGAAACAGCGAGAGGAGTGTCTTGTCTATCCCAGACAAGTGTCTTGTCTATCCCAGACCTTCATTCTGCAAAACTTGCGGCCGAGAGACTTTGCTGGGCGTCAGGACAGTGGATGGTGCTGAAATTGCGGCAATCGGTTGTGACGTGGACAAACTACACCAACACGGAGTCCGATCGGAGACGACGCCGGCAGTTACCTGACAGAGAAGGAAGATGGCGGCGCGCGTAGATGCCATAAAATTATAGTTTTATTGTTTAAATTAGCTAAAAAAAATCAGCAACTGGCTGCAATATTTTCCTTTTTTCCACAGAATGTTTTTTTTTTCCAGCTCTTCTTTTCACTGCTTCCAATCTATCAGTTTTATTGAATAAAGTTCTTATTTTTATTATTTTCTACCATTTTTTTTTCACCGTTTTCGTCAATCAGCTTCTATTATTCTCTAATGTTGTGTTTTCTCTCTCTGCTGTCACGGCTCCTGACAACAAGATTTGATATTTTACAGGAAAAAAAACACAGATTTAATGTCCTGATGAACAGGTAAAGCAGAGGGAGCTTCTGATCAAACTACAAATATGAGATAAAACAGCTTCTCACCAAACAGCTTCTGCAGAACTTGTCCATCGTACAGATCTTCAGCCAGATCCTTCACGATGATCCTCTCCCCGACCAGGACGTCGTTGATCCAGTCGATCAGCACCTGCACGGGCACGATACCAAACAAACTCTGGGAGTCTCTTCGTAGTCTCAGAAGTTATTCCAACTATAAAGTTTAATGACGTGAATCGATTCGGTTGATTATGTTCTAGTCTGAAATAAATAAGGTGCAGCTTTGCCTCACAGATTAAATATTAAGCGTTAATAAATAGGCAGACAGGTGAGCTGTACAGGTAGCTGAATGATTAAAACAGACAGTTTTACAAATATTTTACTCAAACTGCTGTTGGGGTTTTAATTGGGTCACTGGAGGGAAATAAATGAGCAAATTAACGTCTCATTTGTGCTGTTAAAAGCTGATCTCAAGGCCTTAAACTGATTAATTATCACCGTCCAAGTCCCTGCAGCTGACGATCCACCGATTTACACTTTTACCATGATTATTGGCTTTTTTGCACATTTACTTATTGTACTATTATTATTTTAATTTTACCTTTATTATTATCATTACTATTTATTTAACCAGATAAAAGACCCACTGAGATGAAAACCTATTTCACGAGGTGACCTGGCCGAGAGAGGCGGCGGCACACGTAAGGAGCAGTGAGAGGCCAAATTACAAAAATAAATCAATAAAAGAATAATAAAATAAAAGTGGAAATAAAAAAATAAAAATAAAAATAAATAATGTGGCAGCATAAAGCAATATTCATCAAAAATGGAGCCATAAAAGAAAAAGCAAATAAAAGTAGAAATATGAATTCAAATAAAAGAAATAATAAACACATTTTTTAAAACTATTTTTAAATTTTTTTCTATTTATTTGTTATTATGTTTAACTTTATTTTTTTTTTATGTCGCTTTAAAAGCAAAGGAATTGTGCACATGACGACATTTCCAATATGCACATTTTTCTGCGCATATTTCCATTGTTTTTATGGCGACATTTAAAAAAAAATTTAAATTTAAAAATAAAAAAACAAAACATAAATATAATAGATGTTCAATCATAATCTACAATTAAATTTTTTTCTATTTATTTATTTATTAACCAAAAAAAGGCATTTTGTGGAATGCACTAAAATAGACTGACACATGGAACCAGGGCCGACCCACCGCAAAACTAGACCC